GCTCACCTGTCCCCCCCCCCCTTTTCCCACCTGTGCCCCCCAAATGCTCCAGAAGCCCCGCCCCTTTCCCTTGGGGGCGTGTCTATGCAGGAGGGGGCGTGTCCACGGGCAAGGGGCGTGGCCAGGTCTCCTCTCAGCCAATGGCGCCGCGTTTCCGCCGCTCTCGGCTATAAAGGGGGGGCGGGCAGAGCGGGGCCGCGGGTTCGAGTCCCGCCGCTCCCGGTGCGGCCGCGCGGATGGAGCCTCCGTTTTACCGCCCCGCGCCCTTCCCGGGCGGCTTCTGCCGCCCCGAGCCCGACTACGGCAGCTTACCGGGGCCGCTACAACAGGGACCCCCCCAGGAACCCTTCCGCGGGCTCAAACCGGCGCCCTGCCCCGACGGCACCTTCTTCGGGAGCGGCGCCGGTACCGGCAGCTTCTTCTACCCCGGTCCCGGCGAACGCGACGGCTTCACCGGCAGCTTCGCCCAAGCGCTGGACGAGCTGCACCAACCGGGGCCGCCCAACGTGGCGCTCCCGGAGCCGCCGGCGCTGACAACGACGGCGGCGGGGATGGGGGGACCCTTCCCGGGGGTTCCCGGAGCGGAGGCGGAGGCGGCGGAGCCCGGCCCGGATTCCCCGGAGCGGCTGCAGGCGGAGCGGCGGAGGCTGCGGAACCGGCTGGCGGCGAGCCGGTGCCGGCGGAGGAAGCTGGAGCGGATCGCCCGCCTGGAGCAGCGCGTCCGGGGGCTCCGCGCTCAGAACGCGGCGCTGGCGGCCACGGCCGCGGGGCTGCGAGCCCAAGTGCGGAGGCTCCGCGGGTCCGTGCGGGACCACGCGGGTTCGGGCTGCCCGCTGCCCCCCGGTGCCGCGCTCGGCTTCTAGAAACGCGCGGGGAGAGAGGGGGATCCTTGCGCGGACCCCCATGGACACACCTGGGGGGGATCCCCCGTACCTGGCTGGACGCGGAGGGGCGGGGACCCCCCCCCGGTCACGGACACGGCGGTACCGGGATGCTCCGTGGGACCGCGGTTTCGGGGGGGACCCCCATGGACGCGAACATCCGTCGGCTCAGCGAGGGGGGGGACCGCACGAAAGACCCCCCCCCACAACGTGGATCTGGAGGAGTTGGGGACCCCGGAAAGGACCCACGAGGATGGAGGGGACCCCTGGACTGGGCCACCCCAAAAAAGACCGGCAGGACCAGAACCTCCCCCAAGCCCGGTCAAAGACCCTCAGGACCTGCGGGAACGGGGCCTGTGGGATGGATGGGGACCCCCAAACAGGGCCTGGAGCCCCCCCAGCTGGGCCTGGGGACCCCCCCCTGGTTCTTAGAGGATCCGAGATCCCTCCGGGAGGGGCGAGATGCGCACCCCAAAAAGGGGGTGTTTGGGGAGGGGGCTTTTCCCTCTCGTGACGTTTACAAGACCCTCCCCCGGTGGGGAGCAGCCCCCGGGGACCCCCCCCCAAAATCCCGGGGCGAGGGGGGCGATTTGTTGTCGCTGCTTTTTTTTTTGGTTTGTTTTTTGTACATTTGTATTTAATTGATAATAATAATAATAATGATATTAATTGTGGTAACGGGTCTGGTCGTGCTGAACCGGGGGCGGTTG